TGAATCAACACGAGGCAGGAAAATACAGTCAAGTTATAACATGAAAAACAAAAATTAAATCGTTAAAAAATACTTGCACTTAAAAAATCATAAAGGTATTTCCTCAAGTGCCGTAAAAAAATCCAACAATTTTAAATTTTAAAATGACAAGCACACCTGCCCTTATCTAAGGCTTGACTTGTGACACATAGGTTCCGCTAATAATAAAGATATTAATAATAATAATTAATTAGTTCAGTTACCTAAGCTAAAGAAAAATATGAAAACAGAAATGTGTTTCTTGTGCAGTATTGCCAAAACTAAGTTACTTGGGCTGTTTTTTCCTTCACTTTTCTATGTGCAGCAACGTCTCCCCAATACAAAATGGCCTCTAGGCACGTTTTCTACAGCATTTGCTAGGCGTAGGCAGACTGTAACTGTAGTGCATCAGAAGCTGAAAGTAGTTCCATCTTTACTTCAACGTACTGTTTTTTCTTGTTTTTGTTTTTAAGTATTACCTCAGCTTATGTAATTAAGTACATGCATTTTGAATAACTGTGCTCTGATAATATCGCAAAAATCCTCTGATTGTTTTTCAATACTCGTAGCGTATGGATATAACAATTGAAAATTTTATAACTTCTTCCTGGGTCATCTTAAAAAATACATAAATAATTTTTATTTTAAATGATATTAGTTTTTATAAATGTAATATAAATGCAAGAACAGATTTTTTAAAATATTAAAATGAATATTAATTCTCTTTCATTATCATCTTTATCACATTATTATTATTAATAGAGCATTTACCAGAAAAGGAAGTTGATTGTTGTATTCTTATAATATGTCAAATTAATACATTATATTGAAGTCCTTAATCATAAAAACTTAAAATATTCGTTTTTAAAGACAGTGGATGTGTCTAGAACGTTTTATATTGAAAATATCAGCTGCATGGTCAGGGTCAGATCGCTAACTCTTAGTAAGGAAATGCAACTGTGTATAAAAATAAAGATTTAAGTATTGTACTTCACCGTTAATATAAAGAAATAACGTCTTTTTGCTGTCAAATAATTTTTTAAACGGTTTCACATTGAATTCAGTGTATATGGCAGTGTTTTGAAAAATGTTTTTTTATATATTAAAATCTTAACGGTTAATTTCGGTAAAATTAACATATTTTCACATTATTTTAATGTTTTTAACTATACTTTAAAATACGGATTTTAACTTTGAAAAATGGCTGTTAATTGCATGTATTTTTACGGGATTTTTTTTACAGTGCACAGAAGAAGGCTCAAATATTCACTAAACGTTTGTAACTTTCCTTCTAAGTTTATATAATTATTTATTCACTTTTATTCAGGATTAGGCCACTCTTTTCCACTTTAATGTACAATACTAACATTCAAACTATTTAAGTTACTCGCTTTTTTATGTGGTACATATATACATATATAAACACAGACACGTATATATATTGTATACCAAGAAATAAAGCTTAATTACACGCGTGTAGAGGATAACAAACAATTTATCGATCTTTAATAATAAGAAAGATTTTTTTCTACAACTGAGGACTTAGCAGTCGGAATTACCTTGTTATAACAAAGCTTGAAATGTATAGTTTGATATGTTTGGTAAAAACTCGTAAGTAAACGCTAGAATGATTATTTATTAAATTGGTAGAGATTCAAAGGTAGCGCTAAATAATAACAGAAAAATTGAACAACTGTTTTGGTTCCCACGAAGACGATCCCATGTTTTTTATAGTTATCATCCAGAGTAAATATTAATTTCTGTAAACTGTATGTAGCCCGAAGATGCCTCTTTTCAGCTATTAATGGCGGTTTTTATTGCTTCTCTTTGTCTTTTTTTAATATGTCATTTCGAGATAAAACCCCAGAATAATCAGGGTTTATCATTTTCTCCTCTCTTCTCCCTCAAAGAGAATAAGGTATTGTTAGATGATAATTAGCAGATTTAGACATTAGTTGCTTTCTATAAACTTTCTTTTTTTTCTGCAAAGGCATTTTATTACGTGCCATTTAGAGACCACAATCTTATATATTTATTATATATTTAGACACTGAGCAGTTCGTCAGTTTCCAGTTACTTCTAAATAATGTTCCTCCTCATCTGATGTCTGAAATCAACGCTGTTCCCTTACGAACTCAGTTTTCTTTATTGTTATTATATTATACTTTTGATCATTCAGTTTCAGTACCAATAATCTCCGTTCCGCAATGTTTTCTGTCGTGCATTGTTTAGGATCAATAAAGTAGTTCATTTGTCCACAGTTGCTTTACACCATGAAGGCAGCGAATTAATACAGCTAATACAGTAAGTGAAACTTATATAAACTTAAGTCTGTAGGCGATAGAGTAGTTTGTCAGGTTTAATGTTATTTAGGACAATTGGGCAGTACTGGAAGGCAAAAGAGATAAGGTTGGTACGGATATTTTTTTACAGCTTGACCCAATTGTTTACGGTATATTTCAAGAATTTTATTGTACAATGTAAGAAGTTGCTTGATCGCAACCCTAACCAACGTATTATAATTTATATGGAGCCTCAGAATCTATAGTCTCAGTGACTGCATGAACACACCTACTGGCTATAATGTTATTAACGGTACAATTATTCTATTATGTTAAACAAGTTTTTAGAACATTGAGCCAGATTCATTGACTGTAGTAAGGATTAGACTGTTCCAGTTTTATGAAATGTTAACTAAAGATAAAAATGTGGTTGTAAAACACTGGAAAGTACAAAAAGTTTATACAAATTATATATTTATGAGCCTATTTTTTTGTACGATAATATGACACATTGTATATGGTTATTGAAGCGAAATATGGCTAATTCTGAAGATTATAAACATACGAAAGCCATTCCTAATACTAGTAATAGACAGCTTCAGAATAATACATCGAACATGAAATTTATTGATCTGAAACATAAAATGGCAAAAGTGAAAAACTGAATAGAAATACTTATGCTTTTCTTTATTCATTTATCTTATTTATCAAAATTTAACCTTTTCTTTTTTAGGGCCAAGAGTGGTCAGTGGTTAGCATGCTCGACTATGGATTTGTGGATCCATCATTCGCACAACGTTTAGTCAATAAAAGAAAATACAAAAAAAAAAAAAATATAATCGTTCTCCGCACTTTGAGTTTGAGGCCGTGGATATATATTATAAGGGTGACGGTCAATTCAGTGAAAGCTCTAAGTTAAAAAGTATCACCCAGATAAAGATATGGATTTTACAGCATTTTAAAAATTAGATTGATAATTTTTTCTTAAGGATTGTTGTAAATTTCGTAATTTTTATTATTTTTATTACATGCTTGTGGAATAGACACACACATATATACATATATATTTATGAATGTGTATGCGTGCGTGTATAAAATCACACTAAAATTCTCAAAAAAATTAGATTTCAATAAATTAAAAGAAAGAATCTTTTGCATTTTTGGACTATATAGTAATACTTTTAAAACACCTAAAATGTCATGCTTCAAAGTACTAAAACGGTTGCAATTTTAAAACATATTTATTTCAAATCGTAGAAAAAATAAAATAAATGCTATATTTGGTAGCATAACATTATTGATTTTTTTTTCAGACGTTTACATCTGTTTGATAAAGATTCAATGTACCCCTTGCTGAGAACAAAGTAAAATAAAATAGAACACATAACCGGCAGAAAGACAAAAATCAAGAGTTAGTGGCTGTTAATGCCGTTTACCCACCTATTTTCATCCACCTACTTGGATTTTATTTTAAGTTCCCACCTCACTTAATTGCAATAACCTGATTTAAACCTTTCATGCAACAGCTGCAAAGTGATGACAACTCATGTAAGGGCATCCACCTTGAATTGAACAAACTCTCTCTTTCAGCGCTCCCATTGACCCGTATACAGGTTATATCTGTGTGAGGAAAATTATAAAATGAGCTCTTTCATTTACTGGCGAAGACGAAGCATGACTGACGTAATCTCCAGATGTACCCGCTATGTGTTAAGCGGTCACGCCCAGTATTATGAAGTGGCGCTACTCCAGCCTTATAAATTAGGAAAATTCTCTCAGAATTAAGTTGCGCGGAATGTGTTTTTTTTTTTTTTTCAGTGGTTGGTATGTTAATATGTTAACAGAGTCAGAATTCTTCGTCATAGTTTTAATCTCCAATGAGAATCTAAGCTCTTGCGAATCTCATTGTACGTCTGTACCTTGATATAGTTTAACAAGTAATAAAAATTGAAAAAAATTAAGGATGATGTAGGGATGGCAATGCCAAAAAGTACAGAAACAAGGTAAGGATGAATACACAAAACCATACAATAACCCCAACATAAGTAGCCAAATATTTCCAAGAAAAACTTTTATCTACAACTAAACGTTGAATTCCTTTCCCTTGCATGAATTCAGGTTTCAATACAAGCATTTAAACTGAATAACGCTACAAAGTCTTACAATGGCTAATTCCCATAAGCTTGTAATATTGACTCAGAGGCTACTTATGTAGGGATTTTTGTATGGTTTTGTGTATTCACCACTACCTTATTTCTGTAATTTTTGGCATTGACACCCCTAGATCATCCTTTTTTTTTATTACTTGTTCCCCTCTTTTATTTTAATGAATGGCAGTCGCCATGAAAGCAGTAGTTTTAGTCTGGCGTAATGATTTGTCTTGGTGGACATCATGTGTTGAAGTTAGTGAAATACTATACTGCTACTGTACTCCCCAAGTTAAAATGCAACATCTTGGTGTATAAATCATCACAACTTCAAGCATTGGTGAGCTAGCCGTTCTGATGCAAGAATCAGAATAATGAGCAGAACATTCGACTGTTACGCTACTCGCTGGTTCTCTACCTTAACGATGTTTTTTTTTGGCTAAACTGAAGGCCTTAATAGCTTTTGAAAACCTAAGTTAGGTGTTTATTAAAGTCTTACATTGTTACAAGAAATATTTGAGACGATAATGAGCAATGCATAATTTGCGACGGCCGTTTTTTTCTCGGCCCATCACTGCAATCTAAGCACTATCGAGCTTAGTGATAATAACACTAATATTTCGTCCGTCCTGGAAATGCACGCGTACCTGACTATCTAAATGCACAAAACGCTGATGTAAAATACTTTGGTAGACACTTTATAAAACGTACCAAAATCTTATCAAAGCTTTAAAAAGGTCTAACGTTAGGTCGTAGAATAATATTATAAGTATTTATTAATAGTATTAAATACAGTAAAAAAATTTAGCCCTAACTAAACTAAAAACAAAAAAACGTACACAGTTACAATGTTAATTTATCTCTATCGAATATGAGCGATAAGGTTAGGCCTAGGACAAGTGGACTTGTAGATTTCGGTGTATGCGAATAGAATTCATTTGAATTATTCTAGAAATCCTGTATGTAAAGAAGTACTATTATAATATGGATACTAATTTGACCGCAAGTGTTTTGTGGGTCTCTGCTAGTATAATATAAACAGGTGAGATCATTGTCATTCGTGGGCCGTGCCAGTCGAGCGCCATTTTGTCGGAGGTATTAGTGCTGGAAGAATGCCATATAACTGTTGTATATTTGGGTGATCAAACGTTCCCAAAAAATAATAATTTTGCGTTTAATTCTAAGTATTTTGAAATTAAAGTTAATCGTATGCTGTGTATATATATTAGTAAATTACCGGTAGCTTAAGTATTGCTACAAATTAATAACTGAATGTATAATGTCGGCCTAACTAGTTAGTTTAGAAACTGCAGTGCTGTTGATTAGGCTTGCCAACCCTCCAGGATTCGCCGGGAGTCTCCCAGAATCGCATATACTCTCCCGCATGACAAATCTCCTGGATTCCAAAACAATAAAAAAACTCGGAAAAAAGTTTCTTCAAATCTTTGCTGCTTGCAAATAAAAAAACACTGTAATACAACTTGACGAACATGAAACTCACGTTACCGTATCGAATTGCGTAACATACGAGATGCTCACGAGCATACTTTAGATCAGCTTGCCGATGTGATCCCCGTGAGAAAAATTTTCGAACTGGAGGCAAATAGACAATTCTTTGCACAGAAAACAGAGTAATATAATACGTCATTTAATAGATTAAAATTTTGACTTTCTGTTGGTTATAAATAATATAGTATAAAGCGTCAGAGAAAACTATTGGCAATTTGTGAAAGAGAGGATGTGACAGGTAGGCGTGGCAATTGTACTTCAAAAAGATTACTGGGGAAAACAATGCTCTGTTAACATATTAATCAGTGACATGTTTGTAATTATACATAGTTATTGGTAGTATGTCTGCTGTGTTTAGAAACAAACATCAGAACAATTTGGAAGTAATTAGAACTTAGAATTATTTAATGCTTGATTAAAATTGCCATCCAAGTGTGTGTAAGTATTTAGTTAGTGAATCAATTTTCCTTACATCTAAGGGCATGATTTTTTAGAACAACCCTGGGAAAACACACATGAAATGCAACTGATTAAAATAATTGTAAACAATATTTAAAGATCGGGATCTTAACGTATAGTAAACGGTGTAAATGAAGAGAATTGTTGACAAGGGGGGGGGGGAGATATTTGGCAGAAACTAACCAATACAATTTTGTTAAAACATGTGAAAATAAAATATGCATGAGCACGTTTAATCCTTGGCAGAGCTCCTAAATTCATAATTTATGACTTTCAATATTCTGGCACAGAGAGATGGTGTTTTTTGTACAATGTTTTAATATACCTTGCCATTTTGTTGCATAAATAAAATTGCATTGTTTTCTCTTTTTTTGTTTCGAAAGTCTCCCAGTGACACAGCGGCATATCTGTAGACTTATACGGCTAGAAACCGGGTTTCGATACCCGTGGTGGCCAGAGCACAGATAGCCCTTTGTGTAGCTTTGTGCTTTATAACAAACAACAACAACAACTGTTTCGAAAATTTAAGATGATTTAATTTTGATATATTTTTACGAAATGCAATTGACTTCTCAAGTAAATTTATGTATTGTTTTATTCACATTATAATGTGATGCATTAACTACATATGTCTGTTGCAAAAATTAAACTTATTTGCTTTTTTTTTTACTGTTCAGTCCGATTTTAGCATTCAGTATCATGAACTACGATAGTGGTTCATAATGGGGATCGCAAGGAATTGCACAAAAACCCTAATAGAACGTTCGGACAAAAGAGCAACTTAAATAGTGAAGATTCAGTTCAAACAACACTTTAAAACCTTTACTGTTGACTGCTAAGACTATAGACATATAAAAATGTACCAAAATGCGCGCATATTAGACTAACAAGAAAAAGAAATTCCACTCAAAACGGCCTATTTGTAATTATTATTATTATTCTCTTGCCAGCCTACAACAAAAACGGCTTGGTATATTGCACCCAAACCTTTTGTAGAATACTAAGTAATATACTGCGAAGGTCGTAGGTGTATTGAAAAGTTGATTTGTTTCTTTTCAATTTTATATAAGCCAAAAATTTTGTATAATTCTAGTGTAAACGATGTTATCATTATCTCTTGAAGTTAGCTTTCTCACAAATATCTGTTGTTCCTTTAAAAAGCTTAAGTACAGGGTGAAACAGGATTTACCAGCCTATAACAGATGAACATTAGATTACTGTAACATGTAGATACTCAATGCTTTGTACACTATACAGTCGGTGTCTTTAGGGAGCCAACCTCTATATTATGTATGAAGTGAAGGAGTAAATAAAATCAGTACACATAATATTAGATACTCAATGCTTTGTACACTATACAGTCGGTGTCTTTAGGGAGCCAACCTCTATATTATGTATGAAGTGAAGGAGTAAATAAAATCAGTACACATAATATTAAATTTTATTACACACATTCGTGGAATAATTACTTTAAAAGACACGAATGTCTATTTAAAGCGATGTTTTATTTGAAAAGGCTGCTTTTCTACTGCTAAAATTTTATACGTGCTTAGTAGGGGTTGTGTCTTAGTCTATGCATATATTTGCCCATTGTTATACAAAAGTTATAAATGTTCTCTACATTCTCAAACAAATCTCCATGACATCTCCAGCTACAGCTTAACATTTTACATCTCGAACTAATGCGATCAAATAGTCAATAGCTACAGTAAATCTGCATGCACCGTATCAGCTAGCTACCAGGGGCGGATTGGGAGCTTAAAACGGCCCGGTTAAATACTCAGAAATCAGGACAAAATATATCTATATAAATATAATAGTACTGTCTGTTTTATGTCCATGTTAGTACTTCGCAGGGTGCGGATGGATCTTCACCAAAATTCGTATGGAGGTTCATTAGGTCCATGTGGGGGTACATACATTTTTAGTTTTGCAATTTGTGTTTTGCGGTTTTTATGGACATTTTTTACCACTACCTCACCTCCTGTTGATGGATCTTCACAAGTTTGGTATGGAGGTTCATTGCATCCATTGATAGAGACATACAAATTTTCAGTTTTGCATTGTGTGGTTTTTAATTGGTCGTTTTTGGGTCTTTACCACTACTTCGCCCCCTGTTGATGGATCTTCACCAAATTTGGCATGAAGGTTTGTTGGGTCCAGTCGGAGATACATGCAAATATATGGTTTAATATTTTATGTTTTGCAGTTTTTATGGGCGTTTTTGCGGTTTTTACAATTACATATAAGGGAAGCAACTTTTCATTAATCACGAATTTATATAACTTCCGTCCAGGGGACGGGTACTCCAGCTAGTATATATATATATATATATATATATATATATATATATATATACTAGACGACGACAACTAGTAGGTAGTGTACGTAGTTAGTACGTAAATAATACTATAGTACTACTACTACCTTACTTCCTACTTACTTTACTAACT